CTTTTATTACAGAGAGAGTTATCACTGTTGATTCAACTAAATCAAATGCTGGTGAGGGAGAGGGCTATTTCAGCAGGCCCCCCGCGGCCTGGAGGTGGTGCGTGTTTCCCGGAGATAAGCGCCGGCCGGCACAGGGAGCGGGCTCGGGCTGGCTCGCCTCCCCAGGCAGCCAGCGCCCTGATTGCTTTGGAAGCCAGGCCTTCCCCCGCCGCACGGCTGCGTGCGTGCCTGCGGCGGAGATAAAGAGCCGCCCTCCTCCTCCTTTATTGAAGTTTAATAATCAAATGGAACTGTCACTACTTCCAATAAATTGTTTATTTTAATTTAGAGAAATAATGAAAACTGCCACCTTCTGGCACACAGTTGTTGAGGAGTGTGTCCCTGGCCCCGGGCAATCTCGAACCTTCTGTTCTCTGGGGCTGGGGCTCTGGAAGACACGCAGGTCTCGGTGTCAGTGAAATCAACCACGCGTGTCTCCCCTCTAATAAAACCTGGACCTTGAAGGGCCACAGTCATTTTTCAAGGTGTGTTAGGTTGTGAAGTTACAAACCAGGAAGATGACATAGAGGAAGTCTTGTAGGACTTTTTTTTCCAAATATTTCTTTTAGTGGATGTGAAATTAAAAGTCCCCATTTGTCTGCATCATGGTGCTTTCGGAGGACTTCTCTTTCCCCGTAGTTCGGGGAGATCCGCCCACCCCTGCAGCAAGAGGGAAATGAAGGCTCAGGTGAAGGCAGCCTCCTTCTTCCTGGGCGGCAGGGAGGGCGCGTGAAAGGTCCGGAGCTGGACACTCGGGCAGCGGCTCCCCCCACCGCGCAGGCTCTGCTGCTCACTGTGCCGCTCCCCGCAGGGCCTTCCCCTCCCCATCTCCCCATTTCACAGGCAGCAAAGTGGAGGCCCGAGGCCCGAGAGCCAAAGCTGCGTGCCTGGGTCTCCCGGTGGGTAAATGATGTAACCAGAACCAGGACATCTCCTGAATCCTGGTTCAGTTGTTCTGTTTTCTAGAGTCCACGGGATTTTAATAGGATTGCAATTAAATGTAGCAACTTTCGAATCTAGAGCAGCCACAAATGGGGGTAGACGAGAGGAAGCCTGTGTCGATGAGGAGGCTGCAGGGCCCTCAGCCAGGCTGCTCCGTTCCCTGTGGGACAGGACCCTTGGAGGCACATGGCTAAGATTCTTTAGCCGTTTCCCCAGCCGTGTGTGAAGCGCGGGTTCCTGGAGGCCCAGGCTCTCCCACAGTGTGTGAAAAGCGTGAAGTGCAATGCCTGGGGTTCAGAAAGGGAGCAGGGGCGGTGTAGACGGGGTGAGGAGGCTCACTGCCACGCAGAGGGAGCTTCAGGGGGTCATTGTGATGGTGGTGGTCATCGAGGTCCTTTCCATGACATGGCCCAAATCCTGCCAACTCTGGTCAGGCGAAAAAGCAAACCTGTTGTCTTCCTTACTGAGAACGCTCAGCACGGCTGAGTCTGGGGCCTCAAGCCACGTTCTCGTGCTTCTGTCTTGCCCCCCCTGTGGGCTCTGTTCTGCTTGGCGGGTACCCTTTTCAGGGGCGCTGTCCCTGTGCGGTGGCTAGACGGCGGCTGGCAGCTCCAGGCTTCCCCCGACCTCATCTCGCGGAGTCTTCTTCCCCAGGTGTCACCAGTGGCCCAGGGACTGTCCGTGCCCACACCTGACCACGGCAGTGAGGTGGAATCCACAGATTGGACGGGCCTGATAAGTGGGCCCACCCCTTGACCCGGGAAGGAGGGAGAAAGGTGTTAGCTTTACCTAAACCGTATACATTTTGAGTGGCGGGTGAGAAGGAAAACCAGAAGAAGGGGAACCGATGCTGGACAAGCAGAATCACACGCACCCACTGGGCGTGAGCCTTAGCGTTTCCTCGGACCGACCCCGGTCGGTGGCTGCTGCCCAGCCCCGCGGCCTCTCAGAGCTGTCTGCCGCCACGCAGGTCCTCTTCACCGCCCGAGGCAGTGGCGCTAGTGTGCTAGTGAGAACGAGGAACCAGGTTTTTTGTTTTAGGTTGTTTTAATTACATTTAATGTAAATAGCTGCATGTAGCTCATGACCGCCACAGTGGACAGAGCAGCTCTTACAGAGGAAGCTGATCACGGGAGCTGTTTTCCTGGAAAAAGGTTCAGGCTTGTGTCGGGGTTTGGTGCAGCCTGGAAGTTGGGAGGCTGAGCTGATGGGCTCAGGGTGTGAGTGGGAGCAAGGGGCTTGGATGGAGGGGGAGGGGCGAGACAGGAGCAGGGGCACGGTCTTCATCCACGCTGCCATTTGGAAACCCTTAACCCGAGGAGCATTTTTTCCATCTACGATATGGACCAGATTTGTACCAGGGAAAAACAAAATCACAACTGACCTCATTATAAAAGCGAATTCCATGACATGTTGTTACATTTTACCCTTAAGTATCCAGCAATAAAAGCAACCATTGCCTGAAGCGGCTTTCTACACATGACACGCAGCTACACATGGATTAAAAGAAAAATTAAATGGGGTTGCTGTCTTATTAAAAAAAAAAAAAAGGCAATGCTGTGTAAACTGTGTGACTGAGCACAATTAAATGCAGTTGACAGAGATGACCTCAGATGCACAGAATGAACTTGTTAAGGCAGGGTCTGGTCACTACCACGTGAGCCTGGGGGGTTAAAGCCCAGCCTCTGCGAGCCGCCTGGGGGGCCTGCGTGCTGTGACCCTGGCGAGCCTGAGACCTCTCCGCGTCACCTCCCCCACAAGTCAGCTTTCCAGGGTGGTCGTGCTTAGCGAAGGGGGACCGATCTGTTCGATCGCCTCTGGCTCACCCGCAGCCAGGACGCCCGGGCTTCCTTCGACTCACTCCTGTGCCCAGATGTGTTCTCGGAGCGCCCCTGAGGGCCTGCCACATGCTCAGTGTCCTGCTGGGCCTCGAACCTCAGGCGGGAGAACAGAGAAGCCCAGCGCTTGGCTCCTGGCAGAGTGCCCTTCCTGGCTCCCGGGCCTGCAGCCTCCTTCTCCCCCATCACTCAAGCCCTTGCTAGTCTCCGGCAGACTCAGCCACACGCAGGCCCAGAGATGCAGAAAGGGCATGCTGGAGCCAGACCAGCCAGGCGTGTGTCAAGCTCATGGCCAGTACCTGGCGTACAAAATACAAAAAACAAACAAACAAACAAACCAGCAGCAGGCGTGTAGCAGGAAGAAAGAAGGCATTGGAGTGGGGGAGGCTGGCCTGGGGAGGACCTGGGCCAGGCAGCGAGGAGGTGGAAGGAAGGCATTGGAGTGGGGGAGGCTGGCCTGGGGAGGACCTGGGCCAGGCAGCTAGGAGGTGTGTGGATCCGGGCCCAGTGCTGAGCCTCAGTCTCCCTCCTGAAAGGTGGGGGTGATGGAACCTCACAGGACTGTTTCAAGGACTCACTTTGTTACCTGGTATGTGTTAAGAACTGAACGTGGAGCAGCTCTGACAGCTGGAGCTGCTCTGGTGAACACAAGGGTGTGGTCGCCGTGAGGGGGGCAGGCCAGGGAAGGGTCTGTGGGTGGTGTGCATGTTCCCAGGGTGAGCAGTTAACTTGACACCCACCTTGATGTGTGTTAGGCATGGGTGTCGTTGAAGCTGAAGCACTGTGAGGAGCCCATTGAGAACCTAGTCCAGGTGGCCAGCAAGCCTACAGCACCCTCATGGGCAGAGGCACCTAGTGCTTCCTGAGGGGGGCCAGGGGTGCAGGCATCTCCGAACCATTAGCCATGTCCTGGGATCGGCCTCCCTGATCTGTTCTGAGTTTGCAATTGGTTTCAGGGTCCCGTGGAAGATGCATCATGAGTGGGTTGGTAAGAGAAAAAAACAATCCTTGGCCAGGAAGTCATCATTGCCATGTGCCCACTGTTCCTGCCCCTCTCCCTCCTGGTGACTTCTTCAAGCAGTTTCTCCAACAGACAGGGTGTGAGTGCCTTTGGGAAGAGAATCATTCATTTAAATAGAAGATAAATGGTTTTAGAATGGGGCGATTGGAAAATGGTGCCAGGCAGCGGTGTCGCGGTGGACTCGGGCTCTGGTCCCTTGGACTTCGCACACCCACGTCTCCCCGGGCATGTGCCTGGACTCGCTCTTGCCTGCTTGTTGGGCGTGGAAATGAGTGGGGTTCCAGGTGGTCCTTCTGTCCTCTTCACTCCCCAGCTGATGCTGAGATTCGGTGGCTCTGACCTAACCAGAAGGTCCCAGGGGCTGCTGCCCAAGAGGCTCCGTCCCATTCTGCTTAGTCCTTGAAGCTCTTCTGATTTCTAGCCTCTGTATCCCTTGCCACACCACAGTTCTCACGGGCCCCGTCTTTATCGTCTCTGAGGAGATGGTTCCTGAGCACCTCTGTGTATCAGATATGAGGTAGTCACACGAGACTGAGTAGGCAGCCAGACACACCCTCTTAGGAACGTCACAGTCTCAAGAGGGGACGGAGTCTAGTCAGGAAGCTGCACACCTGCAGCGCTGTGTGCAAGGTAGACCTGAGCACGGGGTGCACACGGGGCCCAAGGACACATTCTAGGCCAGTCTCAGAGGTGGGTGGTCTGGGCAGCTTTTCAGGCAGGAAGGAGGTGACGTTCAAACTGAGGTCCCAAAGGCAGGTGGGGGAGCGCCTAGCAGGGGAGACAGGTGAATGGAGAGTGGGTTCCCACTGGAGGGGAGATTGCACACAGTCCTCAAGCGATCAGGAGTGGGAAAGGGGGGATAGAAGAGAGTCATGGGAGAGGAAACCGGAGAAGAAAGCAGGAATTGTGGACAAATTTAGTGCTTTTCACCGGAATTAAATAGATTTTTTTCCTAAAATCTAATCAGAACTAAAAAATATATATGGAAGGTACATATCGGCTTAAATAATTCTGACGTTTTAAATTTCGAAGGAAAACAGTTTCGACCATCTGGGTGTGAGACGCAGCGGGCTAGCCTCGCGGGCGGTGGCTGGCTGCTCGTCGGGGTCGCTGTTTCGCACGGCCGCACAGGGCTGACGGTCTCCGCTTTGCCGTTCCAGCACTTCAGGCAGCACCTGGACAAGCTCTTCGCCAAAGGAATCGGGATGCTGGACGTAGCCCTGAACGAGGCCTTCAACATCCTCAGCGACGTAAGCCCCCCTGATTTGCCTTTCTCTCGTCAGCGGGACGGATGGGATTGTTTTTCACTGTGGACCAGCATTATTATCAGGCCTGGCTGTCACTGAGCAGTATCCACAGGCACCCACCGGACGGGAGGGGGAGGTCTGGGCATCCAGGTCCAGCCAGGAGGCCAAGCCAGCCCCCTGCAGGGCAGAGGCGGTGGTGCAGTCTGGTTGGGGCTCAGCAGCCATGCTGAGAACTCTGGGGCTATCAGTGGGCACCGGAACCCCTTGTAATGCCGGTTTCTCTCCCCGAGACACTCTCAGTGTCTCCATGGGGTAAACCTGTTCCTCACTATGTGTCACTGAATTCCTGAATGTGGCGCTGTTCCAAGGGGGAAGGGCTTCTCTTGGCAGTATGTTTAGGGAGCGCTATACCTGCCCCTCCCTCGCGTCCAGCCCTTGGAGATTCCCAGTAAACAGGACCATAGTCCGGGCTCCAGTCAGTACCGCAGGAAGGAATTCTGCTTCACCTGCTCTTTCTCACACTGAACAAAGAATTTTTTTTTTCAACTAGCACTGTTAACACCCCATGAAATACGCTAGGGAGTGCTGGGCTGGTGATTCTTTTCCTTGAATCCGTGTGTGTGAAGCTAGAACAACATGTGACTGTATGTTCTTGTTCCGAGAGAGTAGCAGGAAAAATGGTGAATATCTTTATCAAGGCAGGTTCTGTATCATTCATTTAGTTAGTGTATATTGTATGCTTTTTAATGTCAGGCAGTACCCCAGGGAACAGAATAGGCAAACTGTTTGCCTTAATGGACCTTACCTGAGTGCACAGGTCAGCAGATGTGGGCCCATGCGCTACCTCCAGCCTGCACCCTATTTTGTCGACACTGTTACCAGAATGCAGCCATGCCCACCTGCTTCTGCTTTGTCTGCGGCCGCTCCTGCACCACATCGCCAGAGCTGATTAGTTGCGCCAGAGACCACATGGCCTGTAAAACCGAAACTATTTACTATGTGGCCCTTTACAGAAGTCTGCTGACCCCAGTGCTAGTGAGCAAAGACAGGTGAGGTGAGTGTTCCTACGAAGAACAACAGCACCATTGTGGCTGCGCGTTACGAGTTGCTGCTTCATGCAGTGGGGCCAGTGAAAGTCTCTGTGAGGAGGCGATGCTGCAGTGCGGACCTGAGGCAGGAGAGGGAGCAGCCATGCGGATACTTCTAGAAGAAGCTTTCAGCAAGAGCAGCAGCAAGTGCAAAGGCCCTGGGGCAGGGATGTTTGGCATGCTTACAGAACAGTGAGGAGACCAACAGGACAAGAACAAAGTGAGGAAGAGAGCGCATGCTAGGGGATGAGGTCGCTGGGGCAGCAGGAACCGACCGTGTGGAGCCGTAGGGACCCTGGTGAGGACTTTGGCCCTCGCTCTGGTTGCGACAGAAAGTCAGTGGAGTCTGAGCAGAGAAGGACATGACCCCAGTTTGATTTCCGCAGCATTTGGCTGGCTGTTGTGTTTAGAAGCAACTGCAGAAGGCCAGAGACAATAGCAGCAAGGCCGTTAAATTATCTGGTGACAGATAATAATGGCTCGGACCAGGGAGGCAGCAGTGAAGATGTTAAGAAGCAGAAAAATAGAAAGCACTAGGTGTTTCAAACAGCAGGAGTATAATTCTGGGGACTGATGGACCTGGAGGCCGCTCCTCTCTGGGGCAGGAGGGACAGCAGGAGGGCGGGGCTCCCTCAGAGCCTCCTCACTGTGGCCACAGAGAGAGAACAGAACCAGGGAGGGGACTGCATTCCTGGAGGGCAGGGCCTGTCCTGGGACGCTGGTACTGGAGGACACAGCCATTGCCAGAAAACGCCCCGACAGCAGAGAGAAGGGGGGAAGTCACCCAGAAGCCCGGCCCCTCCCTCGTGTCCCCCAGGATTCTCCTGCACGTGAACCTGGCCCAGACTGCGGGGAGCCTGGGAGCATGGCTTTCAGGACAAAGGACAGGGAGAGGCTGAGAGCAAACAGGTCCTCCGTGGGGTGACTGCGCTGTGGGGTGTCGCAGAGCCGGGAGGGGGCAGCCATGCGGGCCAGCTGCTGTCAGGAGCGGCATTCGCAGACTCGCGGGTTCACGTGTAGTCGTCGGTTATGCCTGGGCTGGAACTTGAGTTGTTCCGACTGGCTGCACTGGCCTCTCAAGCCAAGGGCGGGACCTGATTCTAGACTCCCTTTTGCCAGTCTCATCTGTTGGTACCCAGAAGGCCATTCAGGTCTCAGTCCTGAGCCAACGACAAACTGCAGAGGAGAGTAGCATAAGAAGGGAAGGTGCCAAGCCAGCTTCTTCCCTGTCAGCCCGTGGCCATGGCCTCGCACCCACGCCGAGGGGTCTGCTCTGGATGAGGAGCAGCTATGCCGGCCCCATTGTTCAGGGAAGCACATTTCTGTTCACAGAGTGTCGCTAATTCAGAAGCAGGCCTGGCCAGAGCAAAGGGCCAAGCTCCACCTCCAAATTCCGGCTTGAACCCCGGGTAGAGGCCTTCTCCGGGCTTGCAGATGCTTAGCTCTGCCTCTCGGCAGGCCCTTGCTAGGGGCTGATACCGAAAGGACTCGTCCCAGTTGGGAAATCGCTCTCTTCTCATTTCAGAAGCCTGGTATCTGGAATGGGGAGGCTACGTGGAGCTGGGGTCCCTGTCTGGACACCCGCCTGCAGGGCATTTCTGTTCTCCGCTCTTTGGCGGAGGTGGTGTGGGAGGGAGTTAGGAGGTGCTTGTCCTGTGGTTAAGTCTGTGGCCTCCGGAGTCAGGCCGGCTGGGCCCAGAAGCCTGAGTCTCTGTGGCCTTGAGAACACTGTTTCCCTGGTTGCTCATCTGGAAAGTGGGGATAGGACGAGACTGCCCATTGGCCTCCTCATCGGTGAGACCCGGGGAGAAAAGAAAATGCAGCCTCCTTGGTTGAAAGTTATGAAGAATTTTCAGAGAGTGAGAGCAGTGCTGGGCTGAGTGGGCAGTGCCATCTCCTGACCAGGGAGGCTAGGCAGCCGCGACGCTGCCAGGCGCCTGTGGCAGGTAGAAGTGGGAGCCATCCTCCCTGCCCAGGGCCTCGGGGACGTCTGCTGCCCCTTGTTATGGGTGGGAGGTCCCCGTCTCCACCAGCTGCTGGCGGTGATATCCCGAGAAAAGGAGTTTTCTGAGACCGCACAGGAGGAGGATGCAGTGTAGAAACCTTATCTCTGTGGAACCCAACCCCTGAGTTTCCAGTTACAATGGTACCACCTTCCCCTCGCCTCTCTCCTTTGTTCTGTTCCTTTGCTCTCCCCATCCCTCCCGCTTACCAGTTTGCTCTCAGACTCCCCTCAGGCAGCGTCCCCATTGTGTGCCCGTGGGTGCTGATGTGCCCAGGTGCGCCCGCACAGATGCTGTGGCCAAGGTGGGGGACCACGGTGCCCTCGGACCTATTAGAGGCCCGGAAGTCCTGCAGTGAGCACCCTGTTTCCAATGTGTGCATACCAGTCCTCAAACTTACTGACCCCGGGACTTACCACATCGCACCCACAGGATTCGAACCTCGCACAAGTCACAGCCCGGTGAGCACACTTCTAGGCACTGCACCTGTACGTACTCCCAGCACCTCTGTGTCCAGAGCCTTCACCAACACGTGGTGGCTTTTGCCCTTGAATCCTGGTGAGAGAAGCAGTTTGAACCAGGGAAACCTTCCACACACCTGCCTGCTCTGCCTTCACCTGGAGAAACCCTCTAGGGCTGGCCAGTTAGAAAACGTTATGGGCCAAATATAAATTCCAGAAAGTAATAAATGGAAGGAACAAAACATATTACAAAATGCCCCTGTTTGAGACTGGCTGACAGTTGGCACCATATTTTTTTTAGTGCACATTTGTCCCGTAGAAAGAAACATTTCCATCCATCCCTAACCACTAGGCTCATAAATAGCCAAACACTGGAAAACACAGGGATGATTCACCTGTCATGAAGATGGAGGTCTAGCTATTTTCCACTTCACCAATATGATCTTTACGTCGTATAGTCCTCTTCCCGTGTATTATGCCCACCTCTGCAGGCAAATATAAAATGAACAAAATAAAATAAAAAAATTTTAAATGGTATTTCTCAAACACACAAACACATATTTTTTTCTCTCTCTCTCTCTTCACACACACACACACACACACACACACACACACACACTTGCAATTGTGGCTGTGGCTGGAACTTTGAATGGATCAGAGTTTCCTTTAACAAAATGAAGTTAATTCTATTTTACAGTGACCTGAACTTCAGTTTCAGTATTTGCTCAGATGACTCAAAGACTTGTAGTTACTGTACCAACAGCTTTGAAAGGAGCATTCAAGTCAACTTGTAAGACCCTTCTGGCTCCTGATCTTCGCTGCATTCATTAGATTCAGTAAGAACACAGAGCTGGTTTGCTACAGTAGTTAGCATCTACCTTGTCACGTGACAGCTGCAATTATCTTTTTTGGCGATGAATATGATCTTTGCGGTGATTACCTTGAAAAAATTTTTCTTAGCCAATTAAATAAAATTCAGTGACATTTCAAAGACTGTTAATCACAACCAAATGCTTTAAATGTCAGGATGCATTGAAATTTTCTCGGCTAACTGATGAATCACTGAGCTAATTGTAGTTCATCATCAGGCCCTTGTCATTGTTATTATTATGGAAAACACTTTCATCACTCTCGCTATTCAATAAAAAAAGTTCTAGATGAGTATGAAGAGAAGAGATAGTACTCATCAAAGCATTTGAATCTAATTGCGGTCGCCCGGATTTTCCAAGTGCAGATTGCTGCAGAAAATTCCAAGGACCCACCAGGGAGAAAAGGGTTGCTCTGGGCATCTCTGCTTCCAGGCAGCATTATTCCGATCTCTTCATTTCCCTTCCTTCTTGCTTTTCGTTTGGGAGAGATTTTCCAGGACGTTTTCAAATGAATTGTATGAACGCCATCCCCAAGTTCTCCTGGTTTCCCCCCTTCTGTGGCCTCTGTGACCTGAAGCATAGATCCCCTTGATTCAGTGGCCTGCCACTCGGTTTCCTCAGGGACTTCAAGGCTGTGCTGAATGCAAGCTCCTGAAAACATCTCCACGACAACCTGTCCATCAGAAAAGGCCACAAAGCTTTGCTCTCTCCCTGCAGTGAGGAGCCAAATGCACTCTGCCCAGACTCTTAGCAGCCTCTCAGCGTGGAGAAGACAACAACATTCATGGAGACGGTGAAGTGTGATGGAAGGTGTCTTTCAGGATGGAGGAGAGGGCAGAGCTTGGTTACGACCCATAAGAATCCTAGTACTGTAGTAAAGGCTTGGTGGACACGGCAAGGGGAAGATTTTGAGGTGGGGGGGTCACAGTCTAAGGGTATGGCTTGTCCTTTGATGCTTTGTGGTTGAAGAGTTGACGGGTCTCTCAGGAAGTTCCTGGACGAAGCATAAGGTTATTTGCAGTTTTTATCTTCCTCAGCAAGAGTTTTCTGGGATGGTGTTATGCTAGTAAAGACAGGAGGCTGGTAGTTATGTGAACAGCTTTGCGATGTGATGATTCAGTCGGCAGGTATCGCTCCCCACTCATTTGTGTCATGGGCCATGTCTGCTCGTTGACTTGGGGACACCTGTCCAGTACACGTTGCAGGAGTGGCTGCCAGGGCCAGGCCTGGAGTGAAGGGCACACAGTTTAAGGAGCACTTACTCCCCCTTGGGGTGGTAGCCTGGTAACTGCCAGGTGGCCCTGGAGCCCAGGGAAGGATGGGGAAGAGGGAAGGGGGAAGGAAGGAGAAGGAAATGCATGTCTGTGGAGTCCTATCCCGAGCTGCTTCGGGACCTTACTGGGAAGCCACAGAGTGTGCTGAACGTGGGACTGGATTCTGGAGCTGGACTGCCTTGGTTTAAATCTCAGCTGTGGCAGATAGCAGCTGTGTGACCTTGGGCAAGTTACTAATCTCTCTGTGCTTTTCTTACCCAACCTGTAAAATGGCAATAATGATAGCACCTACCTCAGAAGCTAGTGAAGATTAAGTGTGTACTTGTAGCCCAGCTTATAAGGCATTTAACTAGTGCTGCAATGACCAGTAAACGTGGTATCCCCTCTTAAAAGGGAAGGAAAGGAGACTGAAGGCAGAACCTGCCCCAGGCACAGAGCCTGTGGCGCGGGGACGGGGCTAAGGGCCACAGTGGGCCAGGGATGCTTCCCGTTGGCTGTGCTCCACCCCGGCGTGGCCATGCGGCAGGTCATTCCTCCCTTCCACCAGCCATCCATCGGTTAATTATAGTCTTCTTCCAAGTTATCGCAACTTCAGACTGCACGTCAGAACCCTGCGTGGGCAGCTTGCACAGGCTGGGCACACTCCACGCAGCGCTGTTCTCTGCTCGCCGTGGAATGCCCCACCCCGGGCGCTCAGCTGTCTCCTTCTCAGGGACAGCTTTTCTAAAGTCACCCTGATCCGTGTCCTATCCCTCTCTCCGCTTTCTTTCTCTTCCTCTTAGCATCACCTCTATCGAATATGCAACATCATTAACTGATTCTCCTTGTTTCTGTACGTCTCCCCAAGTAGAATGTAAACTACACGAGGGCAGGGATGGTTTTATTATTAATTTAATTTTATTTCAGCTGTTTCTCCTTTTTCCCCTTTGACACCCCCGTCCCAGCCCCCCCAAATAGTTGTCTATGTCCATTGGTTATGCGCACATGCATATAAGTTCTTTGGTTTATCTCTTCCCTCCCCTCGCCCCCTTCTTCTGAGGTTTGTCAGTCTGAACTGTACTCCTTTCCATGTCTCTGGGTCTATTTTGATCATCAGCTTATTTTGTTCATTATATTCCACAAATAAGTGAGATCATGTGATATTTGTCTTTCTCTGACTGGCTTATTTCATTTAGCATAATACTCTTCAGGTCCCTCCATGTCGTCTCAAAGGATAAGAGATCTTTCTTTCTTACAGCTGCATAGTATTCCATTGTGTATATGTACCACAGCTTTTTTATCCATTCGTCTACTGATGGACACTTGGGCTGTTTCCAGATCTTAGCTATTGTAAATAGTGCTGCTATGAACAATGGGGGTACATATATTCTTTCTGATTGGTGTTTCAGGCTTCTTAGGGTATATTCCTAGAAGTGGGGGTCACTGGGTCAAATGGCAGTTCTATTTTTAACTTTTTGAGGAAGCACCACAGTGTTTTCCATAGTGGCTGCACCAGTCTGCATTCCCACCAGCAGTGTGCTGGAGTCCCCTTCTCTGAGGTTAGGAATTTTTGTTATGTTACATCGCCAGCACCATGTGGGCTTTTCATAAATAATTTTTGAATAAGTGAGTAAACTTTGTAGATTGTAATGGACAGAGTAGTTTCACTTCCGAAGCTTGAAGGCTTTTTGTGTGTTTTCCATGCGTTGGCATTACCATGTAATTGTAGGGCTGTAAAGGACATGGCATTGCTTTGAATGGCAGCATTAACAACATTCACTGAGGGGAGTGTTCACTCCTGACTCAAGGGAAGGACACGAAGCCCTGGCTTGCGCGGTCTGGTTGCCCTAGCCTACCTCTCACAGAGGCTGGCATTTGGAAAATGTTATGTAAAACTGAAAGGTAAAGACGTGGGGTTTTGCACACCAGTGGGCAAAATCTTGGAATTTCGGCACGGTGTACACACTATCGTACATAAACCAACACAAAACGTCACGTGCTAACACATCTATATGTAAAACAAACCCCAAAGAAAGGGCGCTCACGCCTCGAATCTGAATTGTTATGTTCCTGACTTGATTCTCTGTATGTCCGAAACCTTGATGTTATTACATAGTACAGCTCGCACCCATTAGGTCCATTCAAACCAGACTCGGGTTTCAAAAGAGATGCTGCCGGGCACACAGTCTGCTGGCCAGGCCGTGTCCCTGAACGGTGCTGTGCCAGCTGCTCTAGGCTTGTATTCGGAAGCGCTGTCCACACCTGGAGGTCAGAGAGGTTATGTGTGTTAGACGCTCTCTTCCCGTCTATGCCCGTTGTACAGAGATCCCTGCTGCCATCTGTGTTTTGTTCCAAGTTGTCAGAATAAATTTGGTGCTCCCTGCGAGGGGAAAGGCTCATTGTGCCCATGAGCTCTCCTTTCGTCCTGAGCCCAAGACCTCATGCCCTGAAGCCTCACGGATGCACCGAGCTCTCTGGTGTGTCTTCTTACTTTGCACTTATTTCTGCCCACAGTTCAACCACACAGGACAAGGGAGCATCTGCAGCCAGGCCATCATGCTTGTCACGGACGGGGCCGTGGACACCTATGACACCATCTTTGCGAAGTACAACTGGCCAGAGCGAAAGGTAAGTCGGTGCTGATGCCGACCACGCAGGGCTGTCCACGGAGTGTCTTCATTGTGTTGAAGCGTCCCTGTTGTCCACAGATAAGTGCCAGGTGGATTTAATCTCATGATGACCTATGGTTTCTCAGCCTTGTGTTTTTTGGTTCACCAAAACGCAACGATGGCTTTCCTTGTTCTCAGAACGAAACATTTTTGGAGGGGAGAAGAAACCTGTAAAGACATGTTCATCGTGTGCCCTGAAAAGATTTGTTGTGATGTGTGCTTTGTCCACTAGGGGCAGGGCTTTTCTTTGTTTCTCATGGAGCCAGAGTGGCATGGGGGTCCGGCATCCATGGAGTGTGAGGTCAGCCACGGCCCTGCAGCCGCCTTCCTCCTGTGTCTGTGTGTTCCAGTTCCTCTGTGAGCCCTGGTTACCACCCAGAAGCTTCTCCACAAGCGCCCCCACCCCAGTGCTGTTCCCCACCGGCGTCAGAGTTTGGTCTCTGTTCTAATTACGTCTTTGCTTTCCAGGTTGACATGTATTCGTCTGTGGAACCCATGTGTTAGAATATCAGTGATGGATATTCATATTTTGGTGCCTTTTGAATGCCTTAACCCAGTGGTTCCTCAAGCTATTAGCCAGTTTGAATTCCCCGGGGAAAGCTCTTAATTTATAGATACTTGGACCTTACTCTGCACCCACTGAATCAAAGTCTCTGAGGATCTGGCCCAGGAACTCGTGTTTTTAGTAAGTTCCTCGAGTGGGCCCCAGTCGGCCGAGGGCAGGTGGTGAGCACTGTCTTACCTAAATGGTGGAATTTCCGCGGGGAGAAGAGGTCACTCAGACAGGGTGCTGACCCGGGTGTGTCACAAAGCGCTTTCCGGCGCCCTGTGCAGAGTGACCATCTCTACAGGTGGTGAGGCCATGCAGAGCACACCCACCCTGCCTTGTCTGCCTCAGGTATTCAATTCTGGGGGTTGAACCAACCATGCACTCCTGGGAGCAAGGGGCCGAAGACAAACGACAGTCGTGCTCAGCTGTCTCCAGGGGCCCTGACCTGAGGGATGTGCGCTGTCGCTCCCTGTCCCCTCGCTCACTCTCAGCCCCCATGTGTCTTTGACAACCCAGGCACCTTACCCCACCAGGTGTGAGTCTGGTTGTTGAAGATACCGGCCTTTTGTGCATGTGGTTCCCAAAGGGACACCAACCCCTTGCCCCGGGCGCAGCCTTAGAAACGGCATCACGTCTGAGGCTGGGGACAAGCTCGCAGTGCTGGGCTTGCTCAGAGCATGTCGGCGCTGACGAGGCCCCTGCCTCAGTTATCTAGGGATCCACTGACTGGCGGCAACTCCTGCCACACCGACTCTGGAATCCGGTCCTGGATAAGATGATGCTCCCTGTTCGACAAAGTGACTGAGATGCTGTATTTTGGGTGAGGATTTCTAGGGACTGGTGAGGCGCGAGTTCATTGCTGATAAATGTCTGTGATGGAAAGGGAGGAACAGCTGGGTGGACTTGTGTACCTGCAGCACTCAGCATGGTGCTGGGACATGGCTGGTGCCCAGTGCCCAGCCCTGAGGGGTAACTGAGTGACTGGGGGGGCCAGGAGGAAGGACACAACACAAAATAACTTGGGTAGGGTCATGGGTACTATGCAGTCGAATAGAATGTTCACAGATGCCATGGCATTTCACAGCATGTTGAAGGATATTTGGAACAGTTTAGGACCATCTCAGATAAAAGAAGGAAGTGAAGGGGCCTTTTAATAAGCGGCTCCATTAACACCAACCGTGTAGTCGTACGTGTCTCCCGCGCAGCCTCGGATGAAGCCCTGCCCCGTGGTGACGCCTGACAGAGAGCAGTTGCCAAGCATGTGTATTTAACCATTACGGCCTTATTGCGGGAGAGGCACAGGCTCAGGCTGCAGTCATAATTCTTCAGACAAAACACAAATTTCAACGTATCTTTCCAAAGGAACAATATTGACTTTAGGCCAGGTGCTTCCTAGGATTAATTGGAACCAGGGTCCTGGAAACTTCAACGTTGCACAAAAACAGTTTCATCTACTTAGAAGGTACTATCACGCAGAAGCAGATTTCTTTTTGTAGCCAGAGAGTCTCTTTCTGTGATTAAAAATTAATAGCAGAATGCCTTTCCTTTCTGCTCCATTCTGGAGAGTTCATGACATTTATATATGTATAGTATACATATACATATACATATACATATATATACATATGCATATGCATATACGTGTACATTCTCTTCTCGGTGACTTCTCTGCGAAGGCACAGGGAATACACGTATGTAACACCCTGATGTGATTACGCCCTGTGTTAAGTGAGATGCTGGCCACCGTCTCAGCAGTCATCTTTATTTCGAACATTAGTAAAGGGTTGTGTCATGCTGTGATTGGTAATCTTCCAGATTATAGAAACAGGAAGTGGGTTCAGGAGAAGGAAGAATGATCTTAAGGCTGGAGCCTGATCCCCAGAAGACAGTCCTTCTCAAACCTGAGCGAGCATCAGAGCCACCTGGAGGGCTCGCTCCAGCCCCTGGCTCCCGCATCTCCAGGGTTTCGCATTCCCTGGGGCTCCCGGGGCCTGAGAACGTGTGCAGCTGGTGCGTCCTGAGGATGCGTTGGCTGTGGGCGGAGCACACCTGGGAGCTGCTGCCCTGGGATGTGGCCCTGGGGACAGGGTGTGGTGACTCGGTGGGCTCTGCGGCCTTCATTCACAAGGACCGTTCCCTCAGTCCAATCCAATGCCCAGGAATATGCCTTGGCTCATACTTTGCTTAAAATACCGCCAGTTACTAATCAGCATTTAAAATCTGGCTACAGTATATAACATTTTAAAGTTTTTGTTTTTCTCATAAATGGATACGTGTGACGCTCTGGAGCCAACATTCTCGTAGGACAAAAAAGCCTGGAGCTGAGAAATGCTGCTTCCTGAGACGGCAGAGGCACGCTCTCTTTGGCCATGACCCTCACCACTGTCAGTTCCTCCAGGCTCACTTCGCGCACCTGCTCTACATGCCCGCAGGTGTGCAGTTGTGGAGTGACAGGTGTGGCTTGCATTTGCCCTGCCTTTGGGGATGTTTCTTTCTCTTGGGTCTGCCTAAGCCTTCCCTTTTCTCCTCCAGCCACAGGCCACCCTTCCTTTGCCTGAACCCGAAACTGTAGACCCTGTCAGGGTCATCGTAAGGGAAGCATGGCTTCATGCCCAGTGTTAGAATTACCTCGGAGCCTATTTCATCAAGGACTTGGTGAGTCCTTGAGGACAGGTTTTGTGTCTCGGGAGTCCCACCACCATGCACCGGAGCCCAGCCCTGCTGAGAAGCATGGCAGAGCCGCCCAGGGTACTGTCGTGATCCCTGCCCCCTGGTGTTTACACCTGTGTAATCTCACCTTGGATGTGGGCGGGACCTGTGATTTTCTCCTAGCCAATAAAATGTGGTAAAGGTGAGGGTGTTTTGCAGAGGTAATTAGGTCTCAAGTCAGTCGATTTTGATCAATCCAAAGGGATATTATGGTGGGTGGGCCTTATGCAATTGAAAACCTTGAAAAGAGGGACTGGACACTCCCTGAGGGCAGAGAGACTCTTCTTGCCAGTTTGATGATGTAAGTGGCTTTTTGAAGAAGCCCTTGTGACAAGGACTTGAGGGCAACCTCTAGGACCTGGGGGCATCCTCCAGCCAACAGTCAGCAAAAAGCTGGGCCCTCAGTCTTAGAGCCACAAGGAAGTGAATCCTGCTCACAGTCTGATTGAACTTGGAAGCAGAGCCTTCCTCAGTCAGACCTCCAGATGAAAACACAACCCACTCGGCACCGTGATCGCAGCCTCGTGAGACTGGGGCCAGCAGATCGAGCTGAGCTGTGTGCAGACTCTGGACCCGAAGAAGCAGATGATAACATGTGTGTTGATTTCAGCCACTATGTTTTGGGTAACTTGTTATGCAGCAAAAGAAGCAAGGATAAGGGAGAAAGAAAAGACAATCACTTATATAGCAATACTATAAAACATCCCCAAACCTGGTGGCTTACCATAACACTTTATTCTGTCTTGCAATTCTGTGGGGTAACTGTGGAGTCGGCCCCCCATGGTGTCGGGTGGGTCTCTAGGTAATCCACGTGCACTGGGAGCTTGGCTGGGCTGCCTCGTTCCTCCTCACCACGGCATCTCTCTCCACCTGTGTCTCCTCCTCCAGGGCCACCCCGTGAGTTGTCTCTCCCAGTCCAGGAGCCTGGACTTCCTTACAGTATGGCAGCTGGGTTCCCAGAAAGGGAAAGGGGGAGGAAGTAGGGAGCAGGCCAGGGAGCATTTGTGGGTGTCCATGTTTAAAGCTACCTACCACCTCACCAGGGCTGCGCTCAAGGCAACTGATGAATAAATCATTTCAGAATGAGCTGGAAGAAGGAATGCATTATTGGTGATTTAACTACGCGTCCATGAAGCAGCGATTGCTGAGGCTGTGTGCCCCTTGCCAGCATTTCATTTCTGAGTGCAGAAATGAGGAGCTATTCGTTCATTTATTGGGTGCCATTTACTTTTGCCTGATGTCCATTGGTCTGGGGCTTAACAGCAGTTCTGGCACGCTGGGAATACAATATGAACTTCTTAACATGAAAGGGACTCATTCCAGGATCTGCTCAAGGAATGAAGCTGCCTACATTTAAATGAGAAAAACGGTCACTCCTACCATCTCTATAGTTGTTCTTCCAAGTGAACTAAAAAAAAAAAGCTCATGGAATTATTTATTATTGCGTTCCTTCATGACAAGACGGAGTGGGTAGCAGGAAATGCTAAGTGGTTTAAAGAAGGGTTGCACCATGGCCCATGGGCCAAATATGGTCCATTGCCTACTTTGTGCGGCCTATGAGCTATGAATGAATGATTTTTTACATTTTCAAATGGCAAAAACAAACAAACAAACAAAACCACACACAATAAAACCCAAGGAGAATAATATTTTATGATGTTGAAAATGATGTCAAATACTATAAATCAAGTATTGTTGTA